TTTGCCTGTTTCTTTTTGGGTCCGTTTTGATAGGTTATGGAGTCATTTTATAGAAGCATTCTATTTTGTAAGAAGTATTCCTCTCATTGCATTTGATCAGATGATGTACAATTTTGATTTATCCCATTCCTCATAATGTTCACTTTGATCTCTTCGTCAAGGTTTGATCTCTACTACCAGGCTTCTTCACTGTAAAGTCATCCTTTGTAGTTAATAAGCATTTTGTGAGAAGGTACTTTTTGTAACTACATACATATCCTGTTCCTCAAAATCTTTCAATTTATTCATCTATTTCTTTATATGTATATGGACTCACGGTTTCCTCTTTTTTTCAGTGAGTAATAGTTACTATAGTTATTTATTTTGAAGCTCAAATTGTTAGTGGGATTTGTTTGTTCAGTTGGAGCCTCCTCCAACTGACATCTTTGTCCTTTTAACATGTCCCCATCAGTCTTTGAACATATCCTCCCTTTCAATACATGATTTTCTAGGCTCCTCTTGTGCTTTCCCTCGTTTAGCTCTGGAATTAGTCATTTCTTCAAGGAGTCCTGGTTCCTTTTAGTAGAGAATAGGTTTAGAAGCCAAGATCTGGGCACTAGGTTGGCTCACTGCTATTGAAATGGTGGTGTTCTCAAACCTTCTCAGTGAGCAAAAAAGCTAGAATATTTATGTATGTATATGTGTGTTAATATGTGCACACTATATTTCTATCCATATATTGAAAAATTATAAGTTCACATTGACATATCTAACTCCAATCCAACACTGTAGAGTTTGTTCTAATGTTTTCCCTTTCCACGTTTGTAACTCCCTTTTCCAACAATGAGAGACCTGGCTGCCATTAGCCTTAACACATTAATATTTATTATTTGATCAGTCTGCACACATGCCCCTCCATTTGGGTTCTCGTATCCCATGCAGCCTTTCCAACTTGTAGATGTCCTCCCGCTGTGAGTATCCTCGTGACCCCCAGAGCCTGGGTTCTGACACCAGAGTGCCTTGCCCCACACTGAATGCTCTCATCACCCTACCTAAGCTCTGAGTTCCTACTGGAGTTTGAACACAAAGTCCAGGACTTCCTCTTACTCCACATGGTAGCCTTCTTCACCCCACTTGGGCTTTAACGCCACACTCCAGGTCACCCTCACACAAGACACCCTACCCAGCCTGCTCAGGCTCTGGCTTCCTATGTCAGGCCACCTGTGTGTGCAGACGCACACTTCACCCCGGCCATGCTGTGACATCCTTCACCAGGTACCCCTCTGTGTGGCTGCCCTCTTCACCCTACCTGGGCTTTCACAACCACACCATTCACCTGGCTCCATGGCTCTGATCCTTCTCACTCTGTGACTCTGCCGCTGGGTTGCTCCCTTTTCCTCAGTATGGACACACTCCTCATCCTGTTTGGACTCGGTGGCCCCGGAACGGGCTGCTCCTCCATGGGAACCCCCTCAATCTGCCGAGGCTCTGCCTCCCCTCACTGGGCCTTCCTCACCCTGCTCGGGCTACAACACGCTGTGTAGGACTGCCCCCGTGTGTGCATGTCCCCTTTACCCTACTGCAGTTCTGACACCTCCCTCCTGGCCACTCCCTGAAGTGAAGGCCTTTTCATTTTAAAATGTAAAATACAAAAGTAAAGTGGAAAGTAAAGATAAAAGAGTGGTATTATTATTTTTAAAACTTTGAGGATATGGTGTGGCTAAGATAAATTATATATTCCAATTCACAGCTTTAACATTGTTTCTCTCAAATCTAGAAAGCTGTAGTCAGATCTATCCATTGAACCTACTTAGCATCTTTAAATATCACAAATCTATTCTGTGTAACTTGTTCCTTGCTATCTGGAGCAAGAGTTACACTACATCTACACTACATCTAAACAAGAACTACATCTAAACAAGATGCCTGGAACTCTGCTGTGGAAATATACTTGGTGGCTGGCAGGTAGGCAGAGACCCAATATAAAAAAGTAAACCAGAGGAAATAAAGTATAACATTATTATTAGACAGAAATTACACTGTGCTGGTATATCAAAAGGAAGTTCAGAAAAAGTTCATTATAGTGGGACAGCTATTGAGGAAGGTAAAAACTGAGGTCAAATTGGCAAATTGAAGGGTAAGGAAGGCAAGGACTGAATCACGTTTGTTTTTCTTTTTCATCCTCCCTTTTGGATCCTACATTGTTCAGTCATCTACTCTTTTCCTTATAGATATGAACAGAGAAGCTGGCCTCATGCCTAGCTTCAAATTTTACTGGCTGCTGATTGATCTGAGCCAATTATGGTAATCCCATTTCTTATACCAGTGATGGGTTGAGGAACAGATATGTGACTCAGTTTTATCCAGGGAGATCTATGAGGTAATATACTCAGAGACTTTAGGAAAGATCACCTGTCCTCTAAGAAAAAGGAAAAGGTGGTGTGCTGACTCCTAGAACCACTACATTGGGTAATTTTTACTTGACTTCATGTATTTAGGTATTACCATTTAATTCAATAGCTGATTAAATATATATTTTTAAAGGAGAAAGGGATTTTGGTTTAATGATTTATAAACTGTATCAGTTGAGAATGTATTTAGAAACAATAAAAAATCCATCAGGCTAGGCGTGGTGGCTCACGCTTGTAATCCTAGCACCCTGGGAGGCTGAGGTGGGAGGATCGCCCAAGGTCAGGAGTTCGAAACCAGCCTGAGCAAGAGCGAGACCCTGTCTCTACTAAAAATAGAAAGAAATTAATTGGCCAACTAAAAATATATAGAAAAAATTAGCCAGGCATGGTGGTGCATGCCTATAGTCCCAGCTACTCGGGAGGCTGAGGCAGAAAGATTGCTTGAGCCAGGAGTTTGAGGTTGCTGTTGCTGTTGCACTCTAGCCCGGGCAACAGAGTGAGACTCTGTCTCAAAAAAAAAAAAAAATCCATCAGGATTTTCTTTTTTTAACAAACAAGAAATTATTTATCTCAGGCATCAAGAAGTTTGGAGGTAGCTAAGTAGTGTTTCAGATACCCAGACCCTCCACGCTCTCTTCTCCATCATTAGCTTTCATTCTTATGCTTGTCACTTCATGGTCACAAGGTGGCTGTTACACCTCCAAGCAGGAGGAAAGGGAAAGGGGAAGGGACAAAGGGGCATGCCTGTCGAGCCCGCTTTTATCAGGAAAACAAAAGCTTTCCCAGAAGCCCCACTCTGTAATCTTCTGTATAGACCTCATTAGCCATCCCTAATTGGAGTGCTACTTGGGAGATGAAGAGGTCACGGATCAGGTCAAGTCAGCCTGACAACTGTGCCAGCCACACCTACTTACCTACCCCACAGAAATGGATTGTGCTAGATAATCACTTACAGCCACTTGACTGTTATTCTGGAATGTTACAGGGTTTTGGCTACTACTTACAGTGGGTCTAGTCTGTCTTTAATTTAGCTTCACCTATATTATTTCAGTAACTTTTTTACTTCTTGCTTATATTTTATAAACTAAAATTAGTATAGCTGGCTATCTGTATCCATGTGTTCTGCATCCATGGATTCGACCAACCACAGATGGAAAATATTTGGAAAAAAATGGATGGTTATGTCTGTATTGAACACGTACAGATGTTTTTCCTGTCATTATTCTCTAAACAATATAACAACTATTTATATAACATTTACATTGTACTAGGTATTATAAGTATTCCAAGTATATGGAGGCTGTATATAGGTTTATGCAAATATCACACCATTTTATATCAGAGATTTGAGCATCTGCAGATTTGGTATGTGGGGAGCCTAGAACCAGTCCCCCACAGATACTGAGGGACAGCTGTATATTAGACACAATAAGTAGACATTGAGTGTTCATTTATCAAAGTTAGGACTTCTGAATGAATATGTACATTTGTGCTAAGTTCATACAAATTTTTATTTTTCATTTGAACCAGGCATTGTGCTAAGTTTAAAATGAGGCTTATAATTTTTAAAGCTTTTCTCTCTTAGGAAAAACAAAGGAACTATTGAATGGAACTCTATAACAATTATAATAAAACCACCCCCCTTTTCAGGGCCCCTTTTGAGAAAGAGGATACACTGTTCATTAACAGAAAAAAATGAAAAAAACAAAAATTAAATTTAGTATCTGATACTGCATTCAGGATTTATCTACACAGACTTAGCTGTTCTTAAATTGTGTACCAGACTCTATTCCCTCATCCCTTCAGCCCCCAGCTCCATCCTTGTTCTACAGATATGTTAATTATCAATCATTGAGATAAATCCTTGAGGTAAAAGTTAAAAGGGCAATTTAACAGTGAAAGAAAATCTACCGCTAGAAGTGGAGGTGCTTCCTGTAGACAAAGGGAAGCCTTGCGTTAGAAGGAATACAGACACAGTCGCGGAGTGGGGAGGGAAGTGCCCTTACAATGGAGAAGAGACAGAATACAGCCCCCAGTCTTAGCCGACTGATGGAGTTTAGCAAACGGAGATTGGGCCTAATTAACACTCCACCTCATTTTAGGATTCTGGATTCAGGATAGATGTAGAAAAACAGTTCTGACACTGCTAGCTGAATCCTAGTTTAAGTTCATCTCAGTAACTGAAGAAAACAGATGAGATTTTTATGTTTGTTTTATCTACCATATTTTTATTACTTTGGCTAGAAAGGCCACAGATCACAAGGGAATAGACGAAGCATGTGTGCTGCAGTATTGTTTCAAGAGAGAGAACCACATAAATGAGCTATTTAACTAATACTTATCACTCTCATTTTTATGGTATAGAACAGGGTCTCTCTTAGTATTGACTTATTTTTCCTAATCATATTATGCAGGAGGAGAGGAATGAGGAACCAGATTATTTTATTTCTACCTGTTAACTAGGGAAGAAGAAAACTCATTAGTAAATATAATAGTTTTATTGCCACAAATTTTTTAATCCAGTTGTTTAAAGTTATTTACAATCATTATAGACTGTACTGCATGTTGGGGCTAATTGGAAACAGTGACCAGATTCTTAATCATTATCAGGAAACTGCATTCAGAGAATGAGAAGAACACCCCCACTGGATGAACTGCAGCCACCACCCTATCAGGATGACAGTGGTTCTCCCCATCTCTCATGTACACCCTCTGAAATTGGGGACAGTAAATGTGAGTTTTCCCACTGCAGCAACAGTCCAAGATGCTCATATAACAAGTGCCCAAGTGAAGGAAGCGCAGGTCATGAAATAGAAAGTTTTCATAATAAAGGATATGAAGAAGATGTTCCAAGTGACAGCACTGCAGTCCTGAGCCCTGAAGTAAGTAAAAGTACATAGAAGTTTGAAAACGAATGCTATTTGAAGGCTAATAATCCTTTGCTTTTCCTCTTGGTAAAAAGAATTGATTTTATCACTATCTTATTCCTTTGTGGCTTATGGTACTAGTGTCCATCCTTAATTTAATCTTTATCCACAAACTTATCGGGACTGTCCCAACTAGTCTTCAACTCCCCACACACACACAACACACCCATCCCTGCCACTACAGGAAGATGCGTAGCTAAAGATAATTTTTTTATTTAACATTTTATATAAAAAAATTTAATTATTGGCCGGGCGCTGTGGCTCACGCCTGTAATCCTAGCTCTTGGGAGGCCGAGGCGGGCGGATTGCTCAAGGTCAGGAGTTCAAAACCAGCCTGAGCAAGAGCAAGACCCCGTCTCTACTATAAATAGAAAGAAATTAATTGGCCAACTGATATATATATAAAAAATTAGCCGGGCATGGTGGCGCATGCCTGTAGTCCCAGCTACCCGGGAGGCTGAGGCAGAAGGATCACTCGAGCCCAGGAGTTTGAGGTTGCTGTGAGCTAGGCTGACGCCACGGCACTCACTCTAGCCTGGGCAACAAAGCGAGACTCTGTCTCAAAAAAAAAAAAAAAAAAAAAAAAAATTTAATTATTTACCTTCTTTCATCTTGGGTTACTATTTATGTTATTTTTATTATTTTATTTTGGGATTTTTACTATTGGGGGGTTACTCATTACTTTTTCATAAGTCATTCAAAATCATCTTACTGTATTTTCATATCAGAATATGGAAAGAATAAATGATGATTAGCTTTACTAATGAAATTTGAATTCATGTCTTCATACATTCAGGGTTGTTGGCTTGTTGAGTTTTAAGTACTTTTTTGGAGCAAAAATGTGAAAATGATGAAAAATAATTGTGTTGCTGTTTTAAAGTATTGTCATATTCTAAAACGATTTCTTTTAATCTTTCTATAGTTATGAAAGCTATCAAGGTAATGTAGAGGTTTTTGTAAGGTAGTATTTATTTTTAGAATTTACTTTCCAAATTTAGAGTGCAAGTTTTTACAACTTTTGTTCCAGACAACATTCAATAATACTGTAGTATGTTCAGTTGCCCAATAGGTAAATTTTCTGATCTGCTCCCAAAATTAAATAAGGGAGGTAGTTTCCTAGTACACAGAACAATTAAGCTGTGGATATAAGTTCCTTAATTTTAGGTTTTTCTTCTATAAATTTTAAAAACAATTTTTATCTATTATAGCTTTTCTAGTATTTCCAGTATTATAGTATCTGACTTAGAAGAGCATTCTACATTGATATTTTAAGTTTACTATATCAGTATTTTATGATTTTCCATGATGAATGTTCTGTCACCTAAACAAATTTGAGACAGCTGTTTTGTAGTTTTGCAAACTATACAGGTAGCTAACAAGTTAACAGTGAAGACTGGATTATGGAATTAACAACTACAATAATAGCTATCACCGGTTGTGCCAGGAATTTTGCTATGAGCTTTATACACTGTCAGCTCATCTAATTCTAAAAACCATGTCTTCAGGAAGTTATTATTTCCATTTTATAAATGAAAACATTAAGATTCAGACAGTTAAGCTATTTGCCAAGTATAAGCAGCTCTTAAACAGTGGAACTGAAATTCAAACCCAGGTCTGTCTGAATGCAAAAACATTGCTCTTCAAAACTGTATCATATTGCCATTCTTGAACTAAATTGTTACATGGGAAATTACTTTGATGAAATGGTATCCTCCAAGTACACCATCAGGCAGATTCTTCCAGAGGAATCACAGACTAAATTAAGATGCTCAGGTTATGCTTGCATTTGTGTGTGTGTGTGTGTGTGTGTGTGTGTGTGTGTGTGTGTTAATCTATTTCAGATACAAAGCAAGAACTAAGAGGAGCAAGATGAGGTAGGTTAACACTTCTAGGGATAGGATACCTATAGTAGGTACAAGTAGCAAGGGCACACTGTGTGAGTCCTGGTGTATGCAGCGCCCATACATCCTGTCTGACTGTCTCTGTTCCATCAGCATTCCTATGTATGATGTGGTAACAAGGACAAGAGTTGAGATTCGAACAAGAGTACCAAGAGCCAATAGCACACACTTGTTTTATGGCAGAGATGTAGGGGCAAGTATACCTGGCTACCACTGAAACTTGCTAATTAGCCTACTAAGCAGATGGAGGTTTTATCTGCATTTCTTAAGAACATGAGTGACAAAGCTGTCAGCCAGAGCTGCATGATACGGCTTGGGCTTTTCATCCCTTTCTATAGATGACACTCATTTATTCCATCACATTTTCTATTTAGTCCATCTGTCTTTGGCATATCTTAAAGGTTACTAACTTGGTTACTATCTATATTTAATATATAGTCTGAATTCTGCCCATGTCTCACAAGCTACTTCCTTACTCATTATCTATAGCTAACACACACTGTGAGTTTTGCCCATATTACAGAAGCTGCTAACTTGCTATCTGTAAACATTTCTTTGGAATTTCCTCCTCCTTGCTTGTTTCCGTATCTTCTATAGCAGCACTGAATATATTCAAACAATAAAGCAATGTATATTATGTAAATATTTGGATATAGAATACTGATAGCCTATGCTAGTATGAAATTCATTCTTACTTTTTTTTTCAAGTTTATTTTGCATCCTTGTAATAGATATTATGTGTCAAACAGAAAATTTTTACTTTCCTCTTGATTTAATACAGGCTATCTCTATCTTAGAGCCTACCCACATACATGATTGAACTAAGAGAGAAGAGAGGGTTCAGAAGAATTCCATGGCAAGGAGTTTATAAACTCTTGCTGACTTGTTGCTAGCTAAAGACTTTTTAAAACTTGATCCAGACACCTTGAAAGGAAGGATTGTTTTCTTATTGCCTATTTGCAGAAGGCACCCAGTAGTTTTGACTGTAAAAGTGCCACCCTTTTAACCTTGGGTTTCATGAGAATTGTTAAAATGCTAAGAAAGAAAGAAATTAGGGGGCACCAAGAGAAACACAATTCAGAAATAGCTATCTAGGACCTTATAAAAATTTTATGACTGAAAATCTTAGCTGTCATGACATCATTTTAGAAAATATTTTATTAAAATGCCAAAGCCATATAATAATCTTCAATTATGAACTATGAAGTGGTATGCATCAAAACATTTTGCTGTATAACTATGTTTTTTTTAACACAGTAAGAATACATATACCCTGATTTCCTCATACTGCATTAAAAAATGAAGTCTGTGAGTTTGTTCCCTCTCCCCAAGTATTGTTCTTCCTTTATCATCCTTTTTTCCAGACATGATACCAACTAGCATGTAAAATTTATAAGATTAAAGACTCATGTCTGTTTGGTTCTCTTCTGCAGGAAGAAGAACTCTCCCAACCTAAGATAAGGCCTAGCACATAGTAGGTTCAATAGTTAGAGTACATGTTAAGCTGCTATAACAAAGAGACACCACCACCACCAAATAAAATGGCTAAGAAACACAGAAGCTTATTTCTCTTTTGTTTAACAATAGTTCCGGGTGAGTAGGTGGCTTTGCTCTACAGCATCATTCAGGGACCCAGTTTCTTCCGTTTTGTTACTCTGCCATCCCCTAGGATATTGTTCTAGTCTGCAAGGTCTGAGCTGACCCACACATCCTGTCTGCGTATCTGTGTGTGGGAAGAGCAAGATGGAAAGAGAGTGAAGGACAAGTGATTTCTTACGTAAACCTGATCTGGATATTATACACATAAATTCTGTTTGCCTCAGCCAAAATTCTGTTTGGCCACAGTCACATAGTCATATCGGCTATAAGAAAGTCTCTGAAGTATACTCTCCTGGGCAGTGTTTCTAGCTGAAATTCAGGGAGGTTTTTTGAGTAAATGGAAGAAGGGAAGACTGAAATTTAGTATTTGGTGCCACATTAGGCATTAAATCAAAGTTTAGAAAATTATAGAAATTTATAAAATTGGTCCACATTTTAAAATGAAAATCATTTAAGGTTTATTAAAATACCTGAAGTGGCAAAGAAGTGTAGTTAAAAGGTCAGAGATACGGGTTTGGCATTGTCAGTAACTAGCTGAAACCCTCATTATATGGTACTTAGACTGTCAGGAATTTGAGACAATTACAGGTAAAATGGGTACAATTTCTTTTAATTTCTCAATTAAAATGTACAGTGTCAGTCTTTCTTGAACTTTTGAAATGTGTATTCTGCCATTCTCAATAGTAATTAATATTAGAAAGTAATATGTTTTTAATTCTGGTTAAAAAATAGCTTAAGTTATTGTGAAGTAAATATAGTCTCCATAAATATTAAAATATGGAGAATAAACATTTAGCTCCAAATACTTTGTGTTTATACTTCTATATTTCACATTTCTATTGTTTTATAAGTCTAAATATTTTTATATTCTATTGCATATGCGAACATTTTAGAACAAACCCTAAGAATGGAACCAAATTTTTCAATAGCATTATATTTTTATTTATGTTCTCTTCCTCTCTAGGATAATATTAAGGTGTCAGTTTCATTATTTACAATGTTGAAAGTAAAACTTAGTAGTTCCTACAAAAGAAACAGAGATATACATTAAAGTATATATTTGAAATTCTCATTTATAAAAACATATATCCAACTTTCTAAAAATTATGATGATGAATAGTAAATTCTAAAAGTATCTATATGTAAGTTTTTGAGTTTAACTTACTGCTTAAACTACTCTGACCCTATAGGGTAGCTTTTGATTGTAGTTGATAGTTAATTATTATTGTATTACTTTCTTTGTGGCAGCATATGAAAATTGTTTTTACATCATCCTCCTAAAGAAATATTAGGTATTTATTTACATGTTAGATTAAAGAATAGAGTTAAAAACTAAAAACATTTAAATTTGCTTTTCTTAGGATATGTCAGCTCAAGGATCATCTTCACAGCTTCCTAAACCTTTTGATCCTGAGCCAGAAGCTAAATATGGCACACTGGATGTGACTTTTGACTATGACTCACAAGAACAGAAGCTTCTGGTAACAGTGACAGCTGTCACAGACATCCCAACTTATAACAGGACAGGTGGCAACTCATGGCAAGTACACCTTGTTCTTCTACCTATAAAGAAACAGAGAGCAAAAACCAGCATCCAGAGAGGACCATGCCCTGTCTTCACAGAAACATTTAAATTTAATCATGTTGAATCTGAGATGATTGGAAATTATGCAGTTCGGTTTAGACTGTATGGTGTACATCGCATGAAAAAAGAAAAGATTGTGGGGGAAAAGATTTTTTATTTAACAAAATTGAATCTTCAAGGGAAAATGTCATTGCCTGTGATATTGGAACCTTCTTACAATCATTCTGTGAGTATCTCATCAAGTGGCCTGAATATAGTTTATGTTCATGGTATATAATACACAGAATTTTTAAAATCTATAATCCACCAAACAACTTTCTCAGTCCATCTTTTATATAGTAAACATACCTTTACAAAAATTTCTAAGCCCTGGATAGGTAGGTATAATTTTCTCCTGTCTATAAAAGTTGCCCCTGGAGATGATTCATGATTTGTTTTATGTATTTTATTTTCTCCTTCACAGAATTCTAGCCCCAAGACCTTACATGTTTGTTCCTTTGTTGAACATTTATTAAATGGTTGATTATGACATCATCCAAACTCCTTATAGAATTTCTTATTTTATTTCCAGGTTAAAACTAGATGATATATTGGGCCGGGCGCTGTGGCTCACGCCTGTAATCCTAGCTCTTGGGAGGCCGAGGCAGGCGGATTGCTCAAGGTCAGGAGTTCAAAACCAGCCTGAGCAAGAGCGAGACCCCGTCTCTACTATAAATAGAAAGAAATTAATTGGCCAACTGATATATATATATTTAAAAAAATTAGCCGGGCATGGTGGCGCATGCCTGTAGTCCCAGCTACTCGGGAGGCTGTGGCAGAAGGATCACTCGAGCCCAGGAGTTTGAGGTTGCTGTGAGCTAGGCTGACGCCACGGCACTCACTCTAGCCTGGACAACAAAGCGAGACTCTGTCTCAAAAAAAAAAAAAAAAAAACTAGATGATATAAAACTAGAACTATCTAGTCTCATAACTTACTTGCTGTATTGCAGAAATTATTTTCTCATACAGAATATGTACTGCTGCCAAGGTCATGACTCTCCCTAATCTCTCCAAAGCTGCTGTGAAATTATTTTAAAAGTTCAAAAAAATCTGCCCCCCATTATACTTTCCATCCTTTTAAACAAAGATTTTGAAGTATTGCTGGGAGAACACTTAAGCTTAGTACTTTCAGCTAGTTCTCTCTTTTCTCCTTTTTCCTCCAGAGTATAATCGCCTGCAAATCTCCCTCTCTCCATATTTTTAACTGTATTCCCACAGGTATTGCAAATCACAGGAGAGAAATGTCTGCACTGTTTATTTAAACCAAAGAGATACGTTATGCCAGATAGTTATTATATTTAGATTATGAGAAAAATCTGTGATATGCTGTAAGTGCAAATTATGACTTATATTTATTCCTCTCTGCTATATTGAATAAAAAGCATTTTCAAAATATGAATCTTTACATTTTAGATAGATTTACATTTTAAAATAAAGGTATAGTATTTTAGGTCTTTCTTCCCCTCCCCCCCAAATTCCCATGATTAGTAAAGCAATAGGGTTGTTTTTAAGCTTTTAAATGTGTAAGCTTAAGTCCAAGTTTAAGGTCTAACCGTATTTACACCAGGGAGCGTTTGATGTTGTAGGACCTTTGAATGAATCGAACCATGCCATCTTAACTAGATAATTTTAGCATCTTTAAATACGAAAAGATGGTTAAAAAAAAAAAAAAAAAAAGATGATGGTAAATATATTCATATGAGCTTATAAGATAAATTTAATCTTTATTGGGAAAATTAATAATTTGTTATCCTTTTAAATTTTCAGGATTACCATTTTTGGGAAATACCTTGTTTAAATGATATCAAAGTTTATAAGAGGAGATGTTTAAATAACATGCAGGCTGTATTTCAGGGGGAAAATAAATTTTTCATAAAATTGAATAATCTGCAATTATTAACATGATTTTGAAAGTTTTCTCATTATTTGGTCTGAGCAATCACTAGTTATTCTGTGGTAAATACACTCTTATATGGAAATAACTGATATAAATGAGAAGAGAAAGACTATATCATCAAGAGGTACGTATTTTGTATTGCTTTATTTACTTCAAATTATTCCCAGTTCTGTTTTAATTATATTCATTTCACCAAGAAAATGGAGCTATAGAAAATAATATGGTCTTATCTCTGGTCAAACTAAATAATTTTTATATGCATCTACACTATGTACATTAGCTTATAGTCATTGATTCTATAATCTTTTTTTTACCAACTAGTACAATAAATTTCTGAGAAGTGTTCACAAAAAGGAAAAAGTGCTAAATAAATAGGTTTTAAGATATAACATTTAAATATGAATAAAACTATCCATCTTCTGCTCTTAGAGAATTTTTTTTCTACCTTGACACACTTCTCAAATTCAATAGCTATGTTTAATTGTTCCTCCTTGTTTTCCTTCTTTCTACACCTTGTCAAAATCCCATTGGCACACCAAACCTGGCACACCAAAATTGTGAGGTTAATACTCGTGATTCTGTCTATCAATTAACTTGTCATAGAAAATATAATAGCAATAGAATGTATATATTCACTTTGCCTAAGTTTTAATTTTAACTATATGGAGAAATCTCATGATTATAGTTAACTTGGGTGCTAGATTGACCAGAAGCAGAAAGGAAAGAACTTTAATAAGCTCAATTAAAAATGAAAAAGAAGAGAATTCACAATTGATATCATAGAAATATAAAACATCATCTTTGAATACTATAACAATCTTTATGCCCAAAAGCTTGAAACATGGAGGAAATGGACGAATTCTTAGAAATACACAACCCCCCTAGGCTCAATCAGGAAGAAATATAATTCCTGAACAGACTAATATCAAGCACCGAAATTGAAGCAGCAATAAAAAATCTTCCAATAAAAAAAGTCCCAGACCAGATGGGTTCATGCCCAAATTTTACTATATTTAAATTCTTGATACATAATTTACAATAGTAGGTAATTCATTTGAAAAATGCTTTAAGTGGTACTAATTTTTTTAAATGATACATATGAACATGTGTTTTATCAGAATATATTTTATACACCAACCAGTAGTAATGATACTGCTTATAGTATTTCCTCTGACTTAATATATTGAGGATGTTTCTTCCAAAATCATTGTGATTATGTTTACTGAAATGTTTATTTTGAGGTGGATAGGGTTTAATGCTACTTTTCCAGAGTAATGCCTGTTTTGGCAAACAGGGAGAATTTAAAGAGAACTGGAAAATACTAATTGCAAAAATGTTTTTCTCTGTAGAAAGGATATTCTCTGATCTTATCAAAAATATATATTGTTTTCTTTCCTGTATCTCTTAGACTTAGAATTGTTTACATAGGTTCTATATATCTTAGCTATTTCCTGTGTTCTTTTTATAGTCATTTACTTTGGAGCAACTAATGATTAGAATCTTACTAAATTACATTTTTTTGTAGTATAAAAAGCTAATAGAAATGAAAACTTAATGAGTTTGGTGCACATAGTTTTGTTATATTTTGAAATCACCTGATGTTGTGTACTTGAACTATTATATATATATACACACACACACACACACACACACACAGTCATGTGCCGCGTAACATTTCAGTCAACGACATATCACATATATGATGGTGGTCCCATAAGATTATAATACTGCATTTTCACTGTGTCTTCTCTATGTTTAGATACATAAATACTTACCACTGTGTTACAGTTGCCTACAGTATTCAGTAGTAATATGCCATATAATACAGTTTGTATCCTAGGATCCATAGACTGTACCATACAGCCCAGGTATGTAGTAGGCTACACCATCTAGGTTTGTGTAAGTAGTGTTCTGTGATGTTCACACAATGACAAAATCACAAAAAAACAGTGCATTTCTCAGAACATATCCCCACCATTAAGTAACGTATGACTATAATTTGTATAATAAAAATTACATACATATCTCTTAATATTTCTGTATTTTACAATAAAAAGTAATCAGTGAACTGATTAAACTTTAATTTGGCTTACTTTTAAGGGAGTAAGGAACTGTTTTAGTTTATAAAAGACAGCATGCATTAGAAGTACATTTTTCATAGTAGTCAATTTATTTTAGGGGCTTATATTTTTCCCTGAAATGAAAGTTGGCATTGTTTCTTAAACTGTGTTCATGTTGTAAAAATGGTTTTTTAAACTAATTCATTTGTGATTTGTCACAAAAGATTAAAGAATTACTAGATAATAGAAATCTACCATTGTAATGCCAAAATTGTTAGACTTTCGAGACCAAGTTTATGTTTGCATTTAGGAGGGTTGGTGTAGACTAAGGTTTGAGAGCATGGCAGCTCTGTAGGCCCTGTGTTCACATCTTGGCTACCCTTCCATCCCAACTGTGTGTCCTTGAGCAAATACTCAACTTCTCTGTGCCTGATTTTCTTCATTTGTAAAAAGTGATGATAATAATATTTGCCTCATAAAATTTTTGTGAGGATTTAGGGCATTAATCCACGTAAAGTACTTAGAACATCATCTGGCATAGGGTAGGAACTTAATAAATGCTAACTATTATTTGGTCTTATTCATGTATGAATAAATTTAATGTTCTAATTTCTTAATTAGGTACTAGTCAGTAAAAATTCTCATATTGTATTTTTCAAGTTTCAAAATCAGAAGAAAAGTAACAATCTGGAAAAAAAAGAAAGTGAAAGCACTTTATTTAATCCAACAATACAAGTAGCTAGTAAAGTAACTTTTTCAGGAGCTAATTATAATTCAGGCTTTGAATGTTTCTAAGATACAACTTTTTAGAAATATATTCTGAGTAATTATTAAGAAGTCTGAATCATAAATATTCTTTAAATATAAATGCAGTTTTATTTTCAGACATAATTGTAACTCCTATTCCATTAAAATATATCAAGAAGCTTAGACTAAGTTATTCTGAGCTAGCAAACCCTGAAACTTTTAAATGGCTTATAAGCAACAAAAGTTTCTTTCTTACTTAGGCTCCGTGTCCATTGTGGGCCAGTTATGGCTCTCTTCCCTGTCTTGTCTTCTCTGTGAGATCCAGACCAATAGGGGAGGTTCTTTCTGAAACTTTGCTGGTTGTCATGGCAGAGAACATAGCAAACTAATCCTTGTCTCTTAAAGCTTCTGCCTAAAATTGACATACCCTACTTCCACTTCCATTTCATTGTCTAAAGCAGGGGTTGGCAAACTTTTTCTGTA